CCACCCAATAGACAAGCAAACTGCTCGGGACATCACGCGCTGCCAGCACCCCATCAGCATCGCGCTGTCGGGCCCGCTCTGCCTGGCCGAGGGTTGCGGGGGGCCGGGCCCTGCACTGGGAAGTCCTGTATCAATGAAACGAAGATGATGGGGTCGATCGCCGCGGGCTTGGATGCGCTGGTTCAGCTGGAACGCGCGACGACGACGGTGGCTGGATGCCTTAAAATATGAACTTGTGAAGCATAATGCGACAGAACAGGACAGACATGATGGGCAACTGTCATTCTAAATTTGTCTGAAGCACAATGCTGGAATGCAACGGCAGATAGTCCAGTCGTCCCTTCTCAACCCCGATAAGGGCACCATCCCCGACAATCTCATGACAGCTAGTCCTGCGAAACAGGGTTGTAAACGACAGCGCGCGCTGATGGGAAGCAGAAGATAAGTGTTGCAAACGAGAAGATGCTGAAGACTTTGCGCCGTCGATAATCTACGGCGGGGCTCGTCTGGTAGATTTGCCCCCCGCCCGCGTGCCGAGAACGCCCTGGGCGTGAACTCCATTCGTAGTGATTGCTAAACATAATATTCACGCGCGACATACAAGGCCGCGCAAAACATCAGGGGGGGGTAAACTTTACAAGCTGGCGACTGCGAGGGGTCGTCTGGAAGATCCCCCAATCGAAACCACCGCCACCCCACCGCGTCACTTCTGGCCCAGGGGGCCGCCCCGCGACTCGCTGGCGACTAGAGCGCAGCCGCGAGCGAGCGAGGGCGGGGATGTCAGGCCGCGCGCGACCGGACTCGGTTCGTCAGCAGGCAGCAACGGCGGGCGGGGGGGCGCCAGCACCAGTCAGAAGGAGTTGGGAAGGCGAGAGAAGTGATGGAGACGAGGCGACCGAGCGCCGGACGCCAGGGCGAAAAAGTGGGGCGTACACTGCGAAGGACGAGGCCATCAAACATCTTCGTTCTGCGGCAGCCAATGCTCTAGGAGAGCCGCGGCGGTTGAAGAAGTTGGCTCGCAGGCCCCGCCAACGAGTATCAAAGCGTTGCAGCTTCTGTGACCGCCGCGGAAGATTGGAAGCATTGCGCGGTAGTTCTGCTACCCCCCCATAGTCGCCGCCTGTGCGGTTCGGGACCGTGTTTTCTGCGTTGGCGGCGCCTTGTGCACATGTGCTGGGAACTTGGGCTTGGGCGCGGTTGGTGCTTCCATGGCCGTGGATATTTCTTGTCGTTTTCGAAGTTCTGCATGGTTGCGCTGCCGTGTGTTTGTTCGGTGTTGCTGGCATTGCTGCTGGAGCATGCGCAGCGTCTCCAAGTGTTCTCAGAACCTCTGGTCGTCGCAGTCGTCGACGCGAAACCCTTCTACGTTCTCTGTGTATGTCGGCGTTGGAGTGGAGGCCTGTTGCTCCGTCTTGCAAATGTATAGGAGGTGCTTTTGGTTGGAAGTATACCTGCTTGGTGGCAGACGTCTGCGGTGCTAGCTCTCGCGCGGGCATTCCAATGCGCCATCGTTGAGCACGTGCTGCCTTGGGAGGTGGGCAGGCGATGGGCATTCTGAGGTTTGGCGGAGGCGGGCGGATTGGGCTTCTGCGCGCCGGCGCGGCGCTGGACTACTGAGTGGCAGATGCGTTAGTCACTAGTGTCGATTGGTTGCGCGTGGGCGTCTTCTTTTTGCGCGCCTCCCGGTGGTTGTTGCGCTGGTTGCGGTGCGTCTTCAGGTGGTGCCATCGCTGCTGCAAGGGCTTGATACTGCTGAGGGGATGTTGCGGTCGTCGCCTGGCGCGCTGGTTGGATTTCACACTCGCTGCAATTGCGATGCCGGGTCTTGAACGGCCGCGGCCCAGGTCGAGCTCCAGGGTGTCTTCGTAGTCGTGCCAAGAACACAGCCATTGTGAGACCGTAACTCTGGCCTGCTTGCACGTCGTTCATTCTTGAAGTCGGTGCTGATTTCTGGGAAGCGAGGTGTCTGTTGATGATTTTGAATCCTACTCTGAAGCCCTCGTCAATAACAATCTGCACCTTCGTGAGCGTCGTTTCCTAACGCTGGTCGCGAGTGGTTGAAGAAGCGCGGTCGCAACGGTGGCGAGCGTGAGTTTGCTGGTGCGTCGCTGAGTCTTGAGCGCTTGATCCGATCGGTCGGTGGCATCTTCAATGCAGATTGTGGAGTCGCACAGGGATCGGGCCTAGGCGGTGGGCGAGGTAGGCGTCTGTGAAGGTCGTTGCTTATGAAGCACTCGTCGTTGCATTTGTCAAAGTACATCTGCCACCCTGGAAGCAGCGGTGGGTCGTTTGGAATGCGGTCGGCGTATATGTTGTCGGCTGCGTTGCAGTAGACTGCGTAGTGCGGGCTGTCAATCGTCGTCGCCACTTCTGCCTTTGGCGCCGCATGCTCTCCAACCTGCTGGGCAGTGCATGTCGCGGCTCTCGCGTGGAAGTAGCGATGTAAGAATGATGGGAGTAAGGCTGCGCTTGAAGTCGTCTTCGGGGTCGCCTGTAGCTGCAGGTAATGCTGCGCCGACGACTTCGCCACCCCATGGGTTGTGACTGGTGGTCGGCGGTCGCGTTTGAGTTGGAGCCGCGGTTGGCGTTGGCAACCTGGTCATGGGTAGTGGCGTAGGTGCGCGGGTAGGTCGCGGTGGCGGCCTTGCTTGTGGGTGATCTCTCCTGGGTCTGAAATCAAGCTGCGGCATGAATACTTGCGAAGCAAGTGGTACCGCGTGGCCAGAACGATGTTTGCGGAGTCTGTCGTCGTAATCATACAATGATGTCTCCGGTTGGTTTCTTTGCTCTCCATGTAGTTCGCTATGTTTCGCAAGAGCCTTGGTGGTCAGTCGACAAAGTTCGTGCCTCGTGGGTGTGGTATTTGGATTGTAGGCGTGGCCTTCATTGAATCGCCGCTCCTGGTCTCGGGTTGCACGTGTCGGGGCGGTGTCGGGGTGGCTGAAGGTTGAACGCTGGCATGGGCGTGGGCCCTCCGATGATTCGTGGCCAGGCTCGGTTGCTAAGTTTTGGCGGTCGGAGGTCGTAGTGTTGGTGGAATTCGTGGTTGCCGTAGTGCTCGTGGTGGTGGCTCCCCTACCGTGCCAGTTCAAGTATTCAGCTAATCCGCATTGTAATAATCTCAGTATTGAAACTCAACGTAACCGGGGGTGCTCGTAGATAGTCAGTGGTGGAATGTGTGTGTGTGCGACTTGTCGACGGCTGATGTAGCCCACGGTGGGTGGAATGCAGCTGCGCCTGCTGTATGGGGTACGTCGGCAAATTGGCTGGTGAGTGGAAGTAGATCTGGCCTTGTGGCAATGTTGATCTCGGACTTGGTCACAGGGCTGATGGACGTGTTGTGCATCGTGGAGTGGTACTTGGTATGCATGTCATTGTTCTCGTCAGTGAAAAACTCGTATCGGTTCTCGTGCGGCTGGCAGGATGTCGTGTGTAGTGTCTCCTCGAGGTCCTTATCGGTGATGTCTTTGTTGTAATGTGGCTGCGTCGTGCCATGTCGTGGTCGATGTTGTTGCTGATCTTGTCCCAGGATTGTTCACCTGTGACTTATCGACGTACGTCGTGGTCGTCAGTATCGTTATGTATGAATGGTTGTCCGTTCCGTCGGTAGTGTGGTCGCCGGTAAAAAACGAATGTCACAAGGTCTCTGCGCCCTTTGACTTTGGATACAAGCATGGGAACTCAGATCCTTCCAATTGCTGAATAAGTTGTCCAATTGGTCTTCAATACGTGGAATTCGCATTTCCTGCTTTCTGGCAAGTAGGCCACTGCGATGTGGCTTTGGTGGACAGGGACTGCCCAGCCTCGCTGGGTGGGGACTCGTATGGATTCGTGCCCGAGGTGTAATGTTATGTGCATGGTGTTCTTATCGGGGTTGATGCTGTTGACTTCGTCATGCCTGCTCTTTGGTACTTATGCTCTGAGCAAGGATGCTGTGTTAGGGTCATGTTGGTTCGGCGTCGCTGTCCGCTGTAGTGGTTGGCGCGTGGGTGTCTTGCGATTGCTTGTGAGCAATGGTGGAAAACCGTCGGTTCCGTTATCCTCGTAGTGGTTGGAGGTTGTACAGCAGTGAGGTTCGCATCAAGCCTTCCGTTCGCGTGTGAGTTGGTCGTCGCCATTTGTCGGGGTATGCCCATGAAAACTTAGCTGCAGGTGCGTAGACAAACCGTGATGAATTTGACCACACTTTTGCATGCGCAGCACATGTGTTGTCTTCTATCGCATTGTAGAGAACATGTAGACATTCTGCATGACAATGAACGAGATATGGACATCGCCAATCCGTGCCGCCAGGTAGGTAATCTCTTGAGTCCCGTTTGCTTCGGCGTGGTGGTGTCAGCTGAACTGTAAGAGCTGCTGCAACGCAAAACTGCTTGCACTGCGCAAGGTTACGATGACGCCGATGTGTGTTTCAGATATTGGGCGCTTTCTTCTCCTCCTGCTCCTCCTCCTTTCCCTCCTCCTCCGTCCTCTTCCTTCTCCCTCCTCCTCCTCGTCCGCACTCCTCCTCCCTCCTCCTCCTCCGCCCTCCTCCTCCCTCCTCCTCCTCCTCCTCCTCCTCCTCCTCCCCTCCTCCTCCTCCTCCTCCTCCTCCTCCTCCTCCTCCTCCTCCTCCTCCTCCCTCCTCCCTCCCTCCCGTCCTCCCTCCTCTCCTCCCTCCCTCCTCCCTCCTCCCTCCTCCTCCTCCCTCCTCCCTCCTCCTCCCTCCTCCCTCTCTCTCCTCCTCCTCCCTCCTCCCTCCCCCCTCCCCCCTCCCCCCTCCCCGTCCTCCTCTTCCTCCTCCTCGTCTTCCTCGTCCTCGTCCTCCCCCCTCCCCGTCCTCCTCTTCCTCCTCCTCGTCTTCGTCCTCGTCCACGTCCTCGTCCTCGTCCTCGTCCTCGTCCTCGTACTTGTCCTCCTCCTCCTCCTCGTCCTCGTCCTCGTCCTCGTCCTCGTTCTCGTCCTCCTCCTCCTCCTCCTCCTCCCTCCTCCCTCCTCCCTCCTCCCTCCCCGCCGCACACCTGCACCTGCGGCGCCAGCAGCGGCCGGATGGCCTCCAACACGCGCGCGCCCCTGTCCCCAGCGCGGAACTGCACCTGCCCCGGGGGGGCGGCCCGAGGGAGGGGGCCATCGCTCCGACGTCCGCTCCCCGTGGTGCGCGTTTTCGTATTCGGCGTTTTCGGCATTGGGCGGAAGGGGGGGGGAGGGGAGGGGTCTGGCTCCGGACCTTATGCTCTAGTCCACTTGCCTGAAACAGGCGCCCCAAACAGCCAAGATCTGCTCTATAGGGGGCCATCGCTCCGACGTCCGTTCCCCGTGCATGTTTCGGTTTCGTGCGTGTACAGTAGGGGCCTGACCACAAGAAACCTTGAACAACAAGACCCAACCCTGAGACCCCAGGACGTCCATGGATTTCTGGCGTGGGAACGTTACGCTTACCATCGCAAAACAATTGTTTGGAGGCTGCAGGCCTCAGCGCCGCGGGACCGCCGATGGGACACTGCCCGTGGCCGTGCTGCTGAGCCACACGCGACCGGGAGGCGAGGGCAGAGGAGAGGGGAGCGGGGCGAGCGCGGAGGGCGAGGGAAGGAGGACAGGAGGGGACGCCTCGCGCAAGGGCTGCAGAGAGCAGAACATCCACCCTCATACAGTGGAGGCCCGACCACACGAAACCTTGCGGACGTCACGCTTTCCATGGCAAAACCATCGAAATCCAAGACACCCAGGGCACCCTGGGGGCGAGCAGGGTGTTTCTTGGCATGGGCCCCCACTGTAGTAGTCACCCCGCCACGCGAAGACGCTTAGGAAACGCACCCGGAGAAGGAATCGTCATTGCATCTGCCTTGCAGACGTGCTTCAGCGGATTTCTGCGTGGATATTTGCCCGAAGCGACGAGCGAAAGACAAAGGGAATGTCGCGTGGATTATTTTTGGTCTTCATTCCTGGCCACAAGAAATCGCGAGAAACTCACCTCGAAATCGGGAACGAAATTATCCAGAACACTCCGGACCCATCCTATCGCTTTCAGAACGGAATCCGCTCTGCGATGTTGGCGCCATGAGGAATCGAGCAGGGCAGGGCTGCGTAATAGCCGCCCAGGGCCGTTCAGTGAACGCCAGTTCTCGGGTCCGGGTGTTTTTTTTTTGTTCCTCCCTGGAGCCCGGGGGGGAGGAGGACAGGGCGAGGGAGGGGAGCGTGCGGGAAGGGGCAGAGGGACGTGGGGTGGGCCGAGGGGCAAGACGAGGAGACGGGGGTGGAGGAAGGGGCCCAGGGACACACAAACAAATACACACGAATCCCAGGATTCCCAATGTTCCCCACTTCCCATATTTTCCTGGGAGTCGACGATCAATTGTGTCTGTGTTTTTTTCCCCTCTTGAGTGGAGGCGATACTGGGGGGAGAGGCGCGAAGTGTTTTTGTTATTATACCTTCGCTTCGTGGGGTGAATCTAAGGAAGGCGAGCTGAATTAGCCAGCGAGCGAACTTCGGGCCAGGCCCAAAGCGTTGCCGATGCAAATGCGGCTCCACCGAAACCTTACGGGGGCGGATGGGGGAGGGACAGCGGGGAAGGGAGAGAGGACGAGGCGGAAGTGGGGGGGGGCAGCAGAAGAAGAGAGATTGGGGGGAGGATGGAGCGGGCTGCGGCGCATGGCGCACCACCGGCAGCCTCGGCGCGAGTGTTCTCCTCCTCCGCCTCCCATCTTGGAGCAGGCCCCTTCTCGCCGTCCTCCTCCTGCTTCCTGCTTCCCTCCTCCTCGCCCTCCTCCTCGCCTTCCTCTCCCTCCTCGTCCTAATGGTCCTCTCACTTTCCTCCTCTCTTTTGTTTCTTGCTTGTCTCTCTCTCTCTCTGTCCCTCTCTCTCTCTCTCTCTCTCTCTCTCTCTATATATATATATATCTCACTCTCTCTCTCCAGACATCTGACATGGTCAGTGGTTGTTCCTACTGTTCGCAATGTGGCTCCCAAGGGCTCTACGTAGACCCATTCTCAAGGACTGGCTTTTCATCATGAATACTTTTTGATGGCCTGGGGGAAGAAATGATTGGCAAACACTACCCGCAATGTTTTCGCTCACGGCGCGAGGGCTTCAGGGTCCCTGCCGCTCCTGCTTTGATTCCTCCTTTGAGGGCGGCGCCTGCAACACCGACTTGTCGGGGCAGATTATCCGCAGTATGCAGAACGCGTACACGCGCGTCCGAGACAGGTCCGCCAAGCGGCGCTTGTCGGCGCTCTCGAACTTGCTCGGCCCGGCGATCGCGCTCTTGGCGCTGGCGACCTGGGACTGCAAGAGCGCGTTGTCCTGGAGGGGTTCGTCGAAGCTGCCGGCTCTACGACGAACACGCTTTCTGGGAAATAATATCGCTGCAGATCCCCAGGCCAAACAACTCACCAGAAGGTATTGCATTGGAAAAACGATGGGAATGCAATCTGGGTTGACCTAGACCAAGTCGGGCTAACTAGACCGATCTTTGGCAGGGTGGATTGAGCTGGATTGAAACAACTCTGGGTGAGACTGATTGTTACGTAGGCGCTGGTGACTCAGATGATCGAGGGCACTGCTGCAAACCCAGGACAGGCCGAGGGAATCTGTGCAAGCATAAGCTTTCACAAGCCGAGGTATGGCAAATTTGAATGGACGCCTCCTACACGGGGTCGGAATAGGTGGGGGCGGGGGACCGCGCCGCATCGCCCATGCATCGGCGATGCGGCGCTCTGGCTGACCCCCGATCGCATTGACCCCCGTCTCTTGCAGCCCGAGCGCCCCGAGGAGGGCCCCCCTTCACTCTTTTCCGCACGCCTCGCAGCGGCGCCCTGCGGTGGCCCTGGGGTGGGCACGGACGGGCGGGGGCCCCGGAGCGGTGGTGAGCGGGCGCTCTCCCGCTGCTCATGCCCCCTCGGCGCTTCTGGATGTCCGCTCGGCACGGGAGGCCGCTGGGGCCCCCCGTGGAGGGATCGCTTCGTCCACCTCGCCTCAGGTTGGGCGTGTCCCCCTACAGGGGGGCTTTGGACGCAAAATAACAACGACGCAAAACATATTCAAACATAGTCAACAATACCAACGAAATCGTCCCAGACGAATTCTTCATTCGAATATTCCTCCTGTACAGGGACAGGCCCGACTTAAACCTCGCCCCAGGACGGGGCCCCAGCTCGTGGCTCTCTCCTCGTCTTGGGGTTCCCGCTCCCAGGTGCAGGAGGTGGTCACCTCTGGCCTCCCTGTGGTCAGGGTGGGGGGAGGCAGACTCCCAAGGGTCGAGCAGGGACCGACCGTCCCGGCATTCCTATATTCCTAACACGAAATGTTCTAAGAACCCCAAAATGTTTTAATCGCACAAACAATGGTCTTAGAACATAAACCCGATGTGCTAAAACAAGACAGTCCCAGCCAGAAATGTTCTAATAACATTTCGCCGGAACCACAAAAGGCTCTTAGACCATTGTCTGGTGGGCCTACAGGCACGCCAGGACCCTCCGCCACTGCTGGAAAAGGGGCGGACTTCCCCCCCAGGTAGTCTCTCGGGCCGAGGGGCTCAGTGACGCTGCGGTACTGGGAAGTGCCGCCAAAGGGGCTGCGCCCGCGGCCCCACCCGATGCTCACCCAAGCCGCCACCACCACCGCCCTGCTCTCACCCCCCGTCTTCCTCCTCCCCTCCCCGCTTTACATTTACTCAATATGAAAATACTCTCCCTCTTCCCCTGATGGCGTCCGGGTGATGGCCGCGCACCCTCCCCTCCGCGTACTGTTTTTTACACATAGGATCCGTCATTTGTCCCCAAAATGCTGCTCTCGTTGAGGCGCTGGCCTCATTTCTGCTCCCGAATCGTTCCGAATCGTGCTCCCGCTGCAGCGTGGGCCTCATTTTCGGATCGGTGTTTGGCCTCCGTCGTTCAGGATGGCGTTCTCGCCCCAGCGCGGGCCTTTTTCTCGCGCGCCCATCCGCCCGCCACCACCGCGCCGCACCACCACCACCACCACCACCACCACCACCACCACCACCACCACCACCACCACCACCACCACACCACCACCACCACCACCACCACCACCACCACCACCACCACCACCACCACCACCACCACCACCACCACCACCACCACCACCACCACCACCACCACCACCACCACCACGACAACCACGCACACACGCACGCACGCACGCACGTGCACCACCACCCACTACGCACGCGCGCGCGGAGCCACAGGTCCGCTACGACACGCGTCCGCGGATAGAGAAAATCAGCGCCATGGTGATTAAGGGATGGGAGGGAGTGGTTGGACGTCAGATATGACGCGAGCGCACCTAGCTTGATCCTCCCCCTCCCCTCCTCCCCCTCCCCTTCTCCTCCCCCTCCTCCCCCTCCTCTCCTTTTCCTCCCCTTCTCCTCCCCTCCTTCCCCCTCCCCTCCTCCCCTTCTCCTCCCCTACTCCTCTCCTCCTCCTCCCCTCCTTACCCCTCCCCTCCCTAGCCTCCCCTCCCTCGTCCGGCCAGGCTCCTCCTATGCTGCTTGCTGTGATGGGGCGAGCCCAGGCATCCGCGACGACGTGCTCTCTGTGCGTGGGCCCTTGGAGGTCTCGGGCGGGTGGTAATGTTAGGTCGGGCATGCCCTCCTACAGGCGGACTCTGAGCGAAAATTAGAAAATACGCCAAACATAGAAAAACAGCAAACAATAATACAAGCATCCTCCCCAGACCATGTTCTTCCTACCTTTGAATTTTCCTCCTGTAGATGGACATGCCAGATTTAAGGGTAAGGGGGGGGCAAGAATGGGGGGTGAACAAAAAGAGCCCCTTTTTCATAGCTTTTCTCCATCCACCATTTAGGCCACCCCGTTACCACCCGCCCGACCTCAGAGGTCTGGAACTCTTTCCTGGGTCGTGTCTTTCATCCCGCACCGTCTTCTGACACTCCTGGGCCAAGAACTGGAATCCACAGACCAAACAACGTGAAAACCTGACCGCCCCGATTCTTTCGGTGCGCCAGATGTCTGGCAGAGGATGAGGTGGGAAGGACCAGAGGAATAATAGGTGTGGGCCAATCGGATTTCGGCCCACAACTCGGGTCTCAGGAGACCGTTCGGGACGCTCCCGGCGCCCCTGAAACACTCTCGGCGAGGCGCACCCGATGGAAGGCACCCCGGCGCTCGAAAACCTCCAAAAACAACCATTGCCCCCCCAAGCCTCAGATCCCAAGCCTCAGAGAAAACCTACTTGAACTCCTGGAAAACATGAACCGACGAGAGCTTCCGACAAACACTCCAAGGCTGAAACGCCTCAGAAAACCAACGACAAATCCCGAACACCCAGAAGCCTCGGAGGTCAGGTCACGACGGCGGAGGAGGGCGTCTGGTCGACGTTCGCAGAAGAGCGAGAAGCGGAGCGGACGCATGCGCCCCCCCCTCGCCGCCGCCCGCCAGATACAGCCAACCCGTATCATAAGGATGCGTGGTAAGGATGCAAGGGCCCTGGAGGCCCTTGTACACGTTTGTCGAACGAGGTTGCCCAGCGAAAGTCGCTATGGATGGGCCGAAGGGGCAAGCATGCAAGGGCACCCTTGCGAAGGTTGCCCATCCTTGCTATGCGGGCTGACACTGTAGATACCTTGGACCAGTCCGACGCTGAGGCCACTCCGACGCTGCCGTCGGAGGAGCGGGATGGAGCGGGGGCTCATGAAGGGCAACGATGGTGTTAGGTCGGGCGTGTCCTCCTACAAGCGGATTTTGGACGAACAATGAAACATAATCAACGAATAGTCAACAAATCTTCAAACATACTCAAAAAATCGTCCCCATACTATTTTTCCTATGTTTGAATATTCCTGTAGAGGGACACGCCCGACTTAATGATAGGGGGGACTGGCTGAGGGGGGGGGGGTCATCGACGTGGACTCGGCGACGCATCGCCGATGGATCGGCACCAGGCTCCCCTGGCAGCAAAACGCCACGCTCCTGGGCGGGGTGGCGGCCGATGCATCCCCCCTCAGCCCATCGCATCCCAGCATTGCTCCTGAGCTTCAGGGCCCAGGATCGTGGCCAACCCCGCCCAGGAGCGCTGCGTTTCGCTGCTGGCGGCCTATCGCCGATCCATCGGCGATGCATCGCCGATTCCACGTCGATGTCCCCCCCCTGAGCGAGCCCCAAGAATATACACCATTGCCACTTCCATTCCTCCTCCCTCCTCTACCCTCCCTTCCTCTCCTCTTTCCCGGGCGGTGGGCGGGGGCGAAGGAGGTGGTGGTGTATATTTGCGGGCCCCGTACCCGGAGCCGATCCCCGGGGAAACCAAAAGGAGCCCATACCGCTACTCCCCGGACCTCTCCTGGGGTGCGCTCTGACCAAAATTTCGAGGCGAATCCAACAGTGGCGACGAGGGCCTCCGAGGAGGCCCCCAAAAGGGGAACACGAGGCGAAGGGTAGAGGTATGGGGTACCTTTTACTCCTCTGAATCCCTTCCTGACGTTGCTCTTACACTTCGGGGCCCGCTGTCCGCGGCCCTGGCCTCCTCTGGCGACTGCTCCTCCGCCTCGCGCACCGCCTCCTCCAGGCGGCGGCCGGCCGACAGCCAGAAGCACGACGGTTTCACGTCGACGGCCGGGGCGGCTTCCACCTGCAGTCCTCCTCATCGTCCTCCCTTCTACCTGCCTCCTCTTCCTCCTCCTCCTCCTCCTCCTCCTCCTCCTCCTGCTCCTGCTCCTGCTCCTGCTCCTGCTCCTGCTCCTGCTCCTGCTCCTGCTCCTGCTCCTGCTCCTCCTCCTCTTCTCCTCCTGATCCGCGTGGTCTCTTCTGCTCGTCCCTGCTTCTGTCGATGCTGCTCCTCCTCCGCTTGCTCCACCTCCTCCTCCTCCGCCTCCTCTTCCTCCTCCTCCTCCTCCTCCTCCGCCTCCTCCTCCTCCTCCTCCTCCTCCTCCTCCTCCCTAATTTGGCGTCGTCCACTATTCCTCTGCCGCCTCCTCCTCCTCGTCCTCGTCCTCCTCCTCCTCCTCCGACTTTCGCTGTCGCTCGTTTAAGACGAAGCCTAGACGATGACAACATCGGGTGCGGACAAATGGAGAATTTCTGAGATCTGGCGAATCTGGAGGATGTCCCGGGCGCCGCGGACTTCGCAGAGCGTTCCGGACCGCTCTGACAGCGTCCAGGGCCGCCCTGGAACGGATTAATCCTCGTCCTAAACCCGTCCGGTCGTTCCCATATATCATTCCGAATCATTCTCTTCGTCCTTGCGCTGCCTCCTCCCCCTCCTCTTTCTTTCTGTCCGTCGCCCGCAGAGGGTCCACCTGCTCGCGCATCTCCTGCTGCTTCCTCTTGACCTCCTCGCCGGGGTCGCGGCGCGCGCGGGCCGGCGATGGCGGGGCCCCGAGGCGGGCGAGCCACGGGCGGGACGGGACGGCGGGGGGCACACGGGCTAGGACATACACACCAGGGCACCACAGGACATGGGAAACTCTTCGTGTCGCAGCGCGGCAGAGGTAGTCACGATCCATGGGCGAAGCAAAAGTCAATGTTTTTCCAGATGTTTTTGGCTGTTTGGGGGGTTCTCGCCTCTTCGAGCCTCCGCCGTCCCAAGAGGGCCCCAGAGACCCCCAAGGCTGCCCAAAGATGGCCCAAGAAGCCCCTAAGAGGCAAGACAGCCCAAAAGGGTCCGAAGACGGTACAAGAGGTGCCCAAGACGGCCCAAGAGGGCCCCAAGACGGCCCCAAGAAGGGTGCAAGAGGGGGATCACGAACCGACAATTCAAGCCTTCCGCCCGAAGAGGCCCCCCGAAGGCCCCCAGAGGCCCAAAAGAGGCCCCCAAGACCCCCAAGAGCCTCCAGAAGACCCAAGAGGCCCCCCCCACCTCCTCGTCCACCCGCTCCATCTCCCTGTCCTCCTCGCATGCAGGGTCGGCGGCACCGGCGGTAAAGCCTTCACACATTCCAACGTTTTCTTATTCGCCGATTCGATATTGTGCGGAAGGGGGGGGGGGAGAAGGGGGTCTGGCTCCAGACCTCTGCTTAGTGCAACTGCTTGCAACCGTGCGTCCGATGGGGGAGACTCCACCTGTTCGAAACAGGCGCCAAAAACAGCCAAGGTCTACTGCATGGGGGGGTGGGTGAAAGGGGGGGTGGGCGAGGGCCCGCGCCGATCGGCAAAACAATTGATACAAAAGCGCGATATCCAGGATGTCTAGCCCCGCTCCCCCGTTTCCTGGGACCATCCTCGAACGCGCCAGCCACAGCGAAGGTGGGCAACGCCGTGCAGTCCTCGTGCTACCACCAGGGACGCTGCACAGGGAACGAGGGCGCGTCCCTCGCCACAGGGTGCCTCTCGGCCACGAGTAACTTCAGGTTCCCAGGCCTAGATTTAGGTCGGACAGCATGTCCTCCTGCAGGCGGATTTTGGAAGCAGTTTTTTTTCCATAGCCACGGAAAAGTCAAACATAGTCAAAAGAGCCCAACACATCGTCCCCAGAGTATGTATTGACGATTTGTTTTGAATCTTCCTCCTGTGGAGGGACATGCCCGACGTAAATCTAAATTTCAGGAGCCGCCCGAGAAAATCGCAGCCCCTACCGAGCCCAAGGAGGTCATTGTTTCAACGTCTTGGCCGTAGATGAGTCGAAGGGAAGCACCTTCCCTCTCATCGGCGATTCAGAGAGGGGGTCCTGAGGGATGGGGTCCTGAGGGCGAGGCGCCTTAAACAACGTAAACCCACCCTTGGATCCCTTCCTATACTTAGGTCCCCATCCCTCAGGACCCCATCTTTGAACCACCGATGTTATCCTGTGCCCGCGGATGGTGGTGGTGGTGGTCGGCGGCGCCGGCCGCAAGGCCTTCAAAGAAGGAGCCTCCTCCTTGCATCCACCGCCCTCCTACGTGACCACAGGTGGACCCTATGCCCCCACCCCTCACGATTTCTGAGGGGAGGGGGCTGTGGCTCAGTTCGCTCGGCAACTCCCGAACGAGGTGAACCCGAACCAGAAGAAGGAAAAGCTGCATAAACAGAAACTGTTGGCGCTCCGCGCGGATTTCTTGGATCCGCGCCGCTGGACCCGCATCCCTGGAGCGCGAAGCGCGCCAGGAGCGGCGCATCTGGCGCCGCCGGTGGGGCCCAGCGCGGATCCAAGAAATCCCCGCGGAGCGCAAAAAGTTTATGTTTATGGCGTGCTTTCTTCTTCGATCAATCTCACCTTAGAATTTCGTGTGGGGGGGGGTAGGGTTCACATGTGGCCACCGACCTCCGCTGGCGGGCCCGCCGCCAAACTTCCGCCAACCTTCCGCGGAGGGCCAGGCGCTCCGAAGGTGAGGCTCGTGGCGAGGCTCTTGCCGGAGCGCTGGGCGGTGAGCGTTTTCTTATTCGGCGTTTCGACATTGGGCGGAAGAGGGGGGGCAGGGGGGTGGGTTGGTCTGGCTCTGGACCTCTGCTAAGTGCGACTGTTTGCAGCAGTGCGTCCTATAGGGGGGGTCCCCACCTGCGCGAAACAGGCGCACAAAAATAGCCAAGATCTACTCCATGGGGGGGGGAGGGGAGGGGGGGTGCAAGGGCCCGCGCCGATTGGCAAAACAATGCATAAAAAACAATCACATGCAGAGGTCGTCCGTTTTGTTATGCAGTGCTCGGCCTCTAGGAGCCCTGTGCTCCCTCCGAGTCGGGATGAGAAGTCGCTCCTCCCGGGACGTGTCCAGACCTCTGCTGGGGAGCCACGTGGGGACAACACACGGCGTCAAATGTCTGCGAGCTTATACCTAGAACTAAACACACATGTGCGTGTGTGTATATATATATAGATATACTAGAGCCATCGCGCGCTCTTCGTGCGCGCTCAGGTTCTAGCAGGCCCCGGGCGTTGACGAATTCACTGCTCCACTGAAGTAGTGGACCACAGCCCACGCATGTCAATCTGCATTCCGAAAGGCCTTCGAGGAAAATGGTTGTGTAGGGGGGCGGAGGCCGTATGAATCGGGTTCCCAGAAGGCCTTCTGGGAGCATGGGTTTGGGGGGCGTCTTGGGGAGCCTGTTGGGGCGTGCCGTCGTCGTCGTCGTCGTCGTCGTCGTCGTCGTCGTCGTCGTCGTCGTCGTCGTCGTCGTAATGCCGTCGCCGCCTGTTGGGGCGCGCCATCGCCGTCGTCGTCTTCGTCGTTTCGTCGTC